AATTCACTTCACAGACGTTTCTTATTCTAATTTGGAGATGCGGCCATTTGTCTGCAAGCTGTTCCTTTCCTTCTGTTTTAAAACAATTTAAACGTCTCGAATCAATGCTGAGCTAAATTTATTTAACCTTTAACGATCACACTGAAACGATCCAAGGTAATTTGACTTCAGTTTTAGCAACACTATGTCCTGAAAATTTGAATAAACACCTTACTTAAACCACCGGTGTTTTTGCTACTTTCTCCCTTAAAATAACTGTTACGGCGTAACAAACATAAATCATATAAAACATAGAAATTTTGAGAAAAGGTTTACAAAGTAACCGCTTTTGAAAACCTTCAATTTAGTATTCGTACCATTTGTGTGCCGACACTAAGATGGTACGTGACAATTTTAGTTTTTAATAAATTCATTTATTGATGCGTTCATTGGCAGAAATTTTGGCTTCAGCGGCACAGGCCATGCCTGTAAATCTCGAAGATCCAAAGATCTAAGGGCAACATGGGCCTAGAGAATAACAGTTCCTGGTCCCCAAGGAACCACGTCACGAATTCTTGGAAAAACCCAGATTTTCTATGTACCGCCGTCCTCGCCCAAGTTCCCCTTCCAAAAGTGTACCACGCTAAGGGCGTAATGGAAGGGAAAACAGAAGTTTTAAATGTAGAAAAATATGCCAAAAAAGAACAGAAGTAAAAGAGAAGTCAATACGCATTCCGACAGAACAAGTTCAACACCAAAATATTCATACAAATTTAGAATTCACTGTTATTATAGTTTATTAAATAAGTATTACATTATTCGTTTAGAAAAATCAGTATGCAGAGTGAAGCGGAGCATATCAGAAAGTTCCTTTCAACATAAAATTGCAACCTTTGCTCTGCCAAACCACTAACAGTATTGAAATATGACTATTTCAAAATGTCCAGCTAAAATTTGAGCACTTTATATTAAAATCGAGAAAAATGATGAATTTTTCTATAAAATCCGTCATTTTTCTAATTTCTTCATGTTTTTCAATTTTTTTTTTTAAATGTTTAACGTTTAAAATTACTGACGTCAACTGTGAAATATGTTAAAAGAGCTTTCAAATATTATTCATAATTTTTTTTTAAATTAAAACTGTGAGCTTTTTTGTTAGAAATATTTTCAGTGACTAGACTTAAACATTCCAGTGTGGCAGGTATGTTATTTTGGTGAAGTGTGACCGCTGAGGGTTAAATATACATGAAATGACTGTGAAAGATAAAGAATATGAATTAATCCTCGCAGCTTAATTTTCTGATATTTCTGTGTATTTTTTCTATTAGGTTATTTGTATGGGTTGAACAGTAATTATAATATTTAATTGTATCTTTTGGTGTAAAAGCTCATTCATTTATAACTAATTTTATTAAAAAGCCATTAATAGAAGAATTAATATCGTCAGATGTCGATAATATTTTACGCAAAACGAATATGAAATTGATGTGAACTCGTTAATTTTAATGTTACGTATTAGCGTTTAATTACCTCCACGAAATTGGTTTCATAATTATAGATCATAATTATAGATCATAATTATAGATCATAATTATAGGCTGTGTTATAGAATAAAAGAATCACTTTCATGTATAAACTCATTTAATGGTATTTAAATTGATGTCATTATAAAAATCTCTTTGTAGAGTAGATTAAAGTAATGTATTTATTTTGTAATCGGACAGAGTACAAGAAATAACTGCGCGTGTTTCCACGTGCAGAGTGAGTTCGATACGTAAAGTATCCGCAGCGCAATCCAAGTTTTTGTAAAATCTATTGGGGTGACGAAGGAGTTTTTAAAGTGAGGAAAAGATGATCTCTGCAAAGTGCCGTACACCGTGGGTGACGTTTTCTTTTTAGAGGAATCAAGGAAAGCTTGAGGTGCCGTGAGTTACGTCTTCCTCGCTTGTTTGGGTTAGGAAAAGGCCTATACTAAGAGAATGCCGAGCAGCTCGTGGTGTCGTCTTCTCTCTTAGAAAGGCTAGGTATTTCTGCCTTTTTCTGGAAAATGCTTGTCTTTTTATACGAAAACTGGAAGCTAGGCCCGCCCAATCAGCGAAGCTTAACTCTGAGCGTAAGGGTTTTATGATATGGCCTGTGCCTCGTTTCGTACGTCGCGTCGTGTCGGTCACGTGTACTCGGCGTTTCTTTTTTTACTACATATATCTATTTACATTATTTCTACATGCTACAATTTACATTATTTCTACATGCTATATCTTTATAATATACAGCAAATGCTTCCACTTATTCATCTACCAGTCGTTTCAAATGCTTTTTTTTCAATTTCGATTCGTGCATTAACTTCTTTACGATTATTTGGAATTAACGTCATCGCAAGAATCGATTTATAGTTCGAAACAACCTGTTTTATAAATATTTGTTCTATAAAACTCTATCGTACAATATTATAAAACCTTTTTATCTTTACTTTAATCTTATATGGAGACTGTTGGTATTAAACTAAATAAAAAACAGTATTTTTTTTTAAAGTTTCAATCAAATTATGGTCCGCTTCATGTTTTAATACTTCTACATTCTTTAAAATGCAGTAAAAAGCAAAATCATACTTGACATAACAAAAATAAAAAATTTCTAACTGTTCCTCAATTACATTTTAACTATTAAGCAGATTCACTTTAAAATTGGCAGAAATGCAGAATGAATACTGGATCAGAACACAGCCTCGTTGTTTTATCGAAATTCGCAGCATTAAAAAACGGCAAAGTATTAAAAAATAAAACATAAGTTAGATACCTATAAAACACAGTCGAGGATCTCGAATTCGAAAACAAAAACGATAAATATTGACGAAATCAACAAAATATTAATTTCATAAATTACATCTAAATAAAAATATTAACATTGAATTTTCAATCAAATAAGTAATTAAAGCAGTAAATTACGTAGATATAAAATAGTTTATATTGTACTTTTCAAATAAATGTCACAATGTTTTTCATAGGTAAACTACAATTAACTAAGCATTTAGTACATATCTATATGTTACCGTGAAAGACCGAAATCTGGAGAATGTTGATATTCACCGGTGAATGTCAACATTCACATAGTCGCTTGGTGTATGCCCGAAATATTTGCTAAATACCTTTATTTCGGACTTACACCGGTAAATGTCGACATTCACCATGCACTAATGGTGAATGTTGAACATGTCGGAGATTTATATTTTTTTCTCGTAATTCAGTCGCTATAAAACGTCACAAAGGTGACGTAACTTTTTCGCCTCTCTTTCTGAGAGGAGAGACCAAGAATTTAAAACACATAGTACATTCTAAGCATACGTATTCTTCCTCCGTGGCCTATTCTGGCATGAGTTTCATATAGTATACTGAACAATTCTTCATCGGTAACATAAGACTATATATTCGTTTCCCCTGATTTTAATGTTACAATTAATTTCCTTTCATCATGAATTTTTAAAACGTCAAAACGTTTTAATCGTCTGTAATCCAAAGGCGTGTTGCACTTAGTTTTAGCAGAAACCACTTCAGAAAGTATTTTAGAGTACTTTTCTTGAGAAAAATAAAAACAATTGTCTTCTCGTTTACCTGCAATTAATGCATTTAACTTTTCAAGAAAAAGATCACGATTTACTGCAGTATCCATTCAGTACCTATTGTATAAATTACGGTATTGGAAAAAAAAATTAAGAAAACGTTGCTTCCATCATCAAAGCTTGCATAAGATTGACAAAGCTGACTGACTCCCAGCAGAACACAGGATTTGGCGAGAGAGAGCCAGTCGCTTCTTTGTCGGCTCCTCTCTTTTGGATCTCCACTAAAGCATATCTGTGATTGTCGACATATACCGGTGAGGGTCCGAATGTACAAGAATGTAATAAAATATTCGGTCTTTCACCGACGTATTTGATATGTGTTGACATTCACCGGTGAAAGTCGACATTCTCCTATTACATCTCATATCTAATACTAGCGTTATTCGCAGAGGATTAAGATAAAACTGTAAAAATTTTGAAAGATTACATGATATTACATAATAACTTAAAAGTGAATATTAATCATAGTGTCACCATATACATGTATATTCTCTAATCAATCATTTCAAGCGTGTTCTTATTTCGAGCATGAACACTAAAGCGTAAGTTAAGAATCATACGCAAATCAATTCTCATATGTTAATAATGCTAATCGATTCTGTTCTTCTTTTCTGCAAGTAAACAGTTCATGAAATACAATGATTTCATCATATTTCGGCTTTTATAATGTATTTTCAGTTACATTCCAGATTATGTGCCTGTTTACCATATTATATCTATGATATGTATATTATTTATATGATAAGATGTATACAATTTTACATACTATATGTATGTATGGTACATGCAGATATATGCCAATGCATACATTAGTAAACACATAAATGAGAAGATGGCGAATATAATTATTACACGCATGTTCCTTGAATATGGAATTATTTCAATACATGTAAATATCTATAACAATATCTGAACGATGATATGTAGATTGCGTGTGCATAAAATGATATGTAAATTGTGGGTGTTTTTGCATTTATGATAAACATTGAAATTTGCAAAGTAAATATCCGTCCGTCTGCAATGTATAGAGATCCGTATTTTATATGTAGTATGTAAATGCGTGAACATCCGCACTTTAGTGATGAGATTAAGAAAATCATGTAAAAAGCAATTACTATAATGATATAATAAAGGAAATAAACTCGAAATTTATTTATTATAATTCAAATTTACTAGTCTCGTTTTTATATGTTCTTTTTGCTTATAACAGACGCAATCTTATATCAGTAAGTTCAAGCACCTTGAAATAGTTTTAAATATCATGGGGTCTGCTTGAAATTTTTTCCAAAACTTTTTTTAAAGAAATAAGAAATCCAAATAGCAAATACTTTATTTACTCTCTTTTCTTCCTATCCATTTGAAAATTGTGTTACGCCCAAATTCTCAAATAATAAAATTTCCTTACCTTTCCCGCTGCGCGCTCGAGCAAGGTACCAGGATCTTCCCCATGCTGTTCAACTTTCCCTTGGGATCACACAAGTTCCCAGATGATTGCGTTCTTCGGCCATTCAGGCCCTTCCCGTTGTGTCGACTCAAATTCGAGCCCATGGTCGATTGTTCGTTTTCGAGTTTTCCCTCGATCGTTCCTTCGTCACCATTCACGACATTTCCGGGTGTATTCTCCTTGTTCGGCCAATCGAAGTATTTGTCGATGTCCTTGGCATTGACCTTGCAGGATATCGGTGGTAGTGGAGGCGGCGCTGGACGCGTACGTTTCCCTGTGACTACCGTTTGCAGCTGGTTACGATAAGCTTTGCGACGATTGCAACTCGGCGATTCGGTGTTCAATGAAAGCGTTTGCACTTTCCAGCTCTCCTGACCTCCGTTCGTTGGAGGCACGGTTACGACTTCCTCGCCTGTAACAATGATGCAATACCGTTTTACGCTGTAGTTCCGTGAATGTTTAAGGTTCGAGTTCGACAATGTAGTTATACTACAACCGTTAGATGTCTTTCAAGTCGTTTCAGCGATTACTGAATTCATTATACATTACCATCTTGACGGACATGTACCTTTTGAAATCAATGGGTTTCGTAATTCTATGTATATCTACGGGAGTAAAAATCATCTGGCTGTAAAATAGGCGGTAGGTTGGATAACATGTCGAATGTTATGTTTTCTTTCTACTAATTCATACAAATTTTGATTGTTACGTCATCCTTGCACACGAATCGGTATTAAATATTAACATAGTAAAATAAACAGGAACCGAAACAACATGAAGCTAAAATGAAAACAGGATTTCACCAGCATGACTTCTGCTATTTTCACAGTATACATATAAAAGAAAGTTGAATAAAACAGGATACATACAGGATGTCATGTAACTGGAGGTACAACTGAATAGGGGTTGATTCTACATGAAAATACGTATAGGTCAAAAATATACGGTCAAATATTGTTATTTGAACCTCCGTTTCCGATAAAACAGGTTTTAAAAATCTGCTTGGTGCACATAACAACAAATTTGGCTTCCCTTAAGAACAATGTAGTAATCAAAGAATCTATCAGACGTTTATTTTTAGGAATGCAACAATTCAGAAATAAGCTAAGAATTTTGAAGTTTTGGATTTGATGATTTACGGACGTGGGGATGGAGGATTATTATAAATCTTCAAGTTTATAAATCTATAACCTCTAAATTCTTCAATTTCTAAGATTCTAAAGTCTCCAACTTCTACAATTCCAAATCCCATATTTTCAAATTTTCTAAATTCCTATATTTTTCAATCTTTACACTTGTAAATTTCCACACCATGAAATTTTCAGAATTTAAAATTTATCTATTTTTAGCTACCAAATTCTCAAGTTGTTACATTTCTAATTTTACATATATTGAAATTATCAAAATTACAAATTTCCAAGTTTACAAATCAATTCACAAATTTCCTATCTTCAGCATTCCATTTTTATATTTCTGTATATTCACATTTTCATAATTCTGAATTGTAAAATCCCCGAATTCCTAGAGAAATCAAATTTGTTTTTAAGTGTACATCTATCGAATATATCATCAGAGCCGGTTTTCTTGTAAACAAACTCTAAAATAAAGAAATTTTATCGTGTATTTAGCATTTATATTTGCGTACAAAATAAGGCCTTATTCGTTTATTTATTTATACGCCATTATATAATGTAAGACATGTATGTATATATGTAGTATTGTAAGCGACTACTCCGTATCGTTGGCCCTCGATCGTAGCGGGTACGAGTGCGGTGAGGGGGCCATCTGGATTGCCTAGGCGTCGCGTCGATGCGGCGCGATGCGTTTTTGTTTTTAACATTTTCGTTCGACGGATAGTCTCGTCAGAACTGGAGAAGAATAAAGATCATTTTCCTTTGTCTTATAAACCATTTATGTATTTAACCCTTTGCGGACTACCGCCGCATATATGCGTTCTGCGTAAATCATCAAATTGGTGGAAGAACTCATATATGCGTTTGGCGAAAACAGTCGATTGAGCCGAGAAATGCATATATGTGTCCCACGTAAATGCGTGGGTATGGCCGAGAAACTTAACTATGCGTTCTGCGAAAACAACTGATAGAGCCGAGAAATGCGTACATGTGTGCATGCACGTAAATCTGTGCATGTACATATAATATGTCCAGAATTTGACTTGGAATGCTATGAACGAAAACCGCGTTTAAGCAGAAATATGCGCTGGCAATTTTTAATGACTATCGCGGCAGGAG